TTATGAGTACATGGACCCTGAAACCCCAAAACCCTATAGACACCCTTCAAGGCTCTTAGGGGTAAGGCCGAAGGTTGAGCAATTAAGGGTCTTCAAGAGTTCAGGGCTGCAGAAGCTTAGAGTGTATGGTTTAGGGTTTAGGGGTTTAGGGTTTAGGGTTTAGGGTTTAGGGTTTAGGATATACTTTGGCCCCAAAGTACCTTCCTAGGGACTAGTTTGAGGCCAGAGGTATCTACTATTTGAGTACATGGACCCTGAAACCCTAAACATTATAGAAACCTTATAGTAGACCCTTTATGAGTACATGGACCCTGAAACCCTAAACCCTATAGACACCCTTCAAGGCTCTTAGGGGTAAGGCCGAAGGTTGAGCAATTGAGGATCTTCAAGAGTTCAGGGCTGCAGAAGCTTAGAGTGTATGGTTTAGGGTTTAGGGGTTTAGGGTCTAGGGTTTAGGGTTTAGGGTTTAGGGTTTAGGGTTTAGTAGGGTTTATGGTTTAGGGTTGCATTGGAGTGTCGTTTCAAGTGCAACTGACTTCGAACGGCACCCGTGTCTCGAGACTACACAAAAACCTAAGACACTCAGTCACCCCGCAACTTCGGGGGATTGGGGTTTAGGGTTTAGGGTTTAGGGTTTGGGGTTCAGGCTTCGGGGGTTTGGGATTTTTGAAGGTCCGGCTCCAAGCTTTCAGTAACCTGCTGCATGAATTCCCTGGCCCCCAACACCGTCGACCTCTCAAACCTGGTAATATAGGGGCCTTAATAATTTCAATAGGGTTTTGGGGCCCATGATACTAGAATTATAATAAGGAACCCCCCGCAATAGTATTGGTAACTGTTTAGGCCCCTACATTCGGCCTCTAGAAAAACAAAAGGCCCAAGAGGTTCAAGGGCACCTAATATAGGTGCCTGCATAATTATCCATATTAATTTCTCGGTTCCTTCCGGTGATGATATAAATCCTGCATTACCCATAACAAGGAATATACCATATTTCCCATAGTTTAGGGCTTAGGGTCCCTGACGTAATGCAAGATTTATATCATGAACAGCTATTATAATTATACTATAGAAAAAACGAGCCCTTGACTGGCGAGGCTCGCGTTGGTGGCCAGGAAGTCGGCAAGGAAAGTGCCGATCACAGCCCAGGGAACGCACCCAAAGATGCCTCGACCACCAGCAGCAGAACTCTTGATTGACGTCTGGGGCAGGGTCCACAGACAACAAAGTTTCGGGTTAACACTGCTTGTTAACTTTCCCCGTTGCCTACTATGTACAGGCGTGCACGATCTCGAGTAGAGTACACATTTCTGCGATAGAAAACTAGTATGCTTTCAGGTTACTGCATTGTCAAAGGTACAAACAGAAACAGAAAGAACATAGAGAGAGAGAGAGAATGTTTGTTTCTGGAACCCGACAGATTACGAAGTCCGAAGAATAACCCTGAACCCAAACTCCTGAACAACTTAAAGCCTAAACCTCTAAACGCTAAATTAAACCCTTGACCCCAAGCCCTGTACATCTAAACCCTAAATCCTAGACCCTACACCTCGGATGTGGAGACTCGTAGAGCCCAGCGACCCCTTCAGAGAACTACCAATGTGGGGGTTTCCGATAATAGGGGACCCCGATATAGTATCCCAAATAGTAGGATCCTTATTATAAGGACACCAGAATAAGATACCCCATATTTTCGTAACTCCCTTATGGAGAGCAGCTAGAACTCAAACCGCCAGCCCCAAACATCCAGCCCAAAGACGGTTCTGATCGTAAATAGCTCTAGGGTTTAGGGGTTTGGGGGTTTAGGGGTTTAGGGGTTTACGGGTTTAGGGTTTAGGGGTTTAGGGGTTTAGGGTTTAGGGTTTAGGGTTTAGGGTTTAGGAACTGCCTTGCAGACATGTCAGGATCACTGTAGGTCTCGCCAGTGCAGAGCACAAGGAAGTGCAATAACTGGTGGAGGGCTCGTCCAGCTCAGCCTCCTCGATCTTGTTTGGCTCCTTTTGGAGGACGAACCTAAGTCTGAGGCTTCAGATAGAGGCCGGTTTAGGGTTTAGGGTTTAGGCTTCGGGATCCGACAAAGGGTCCTCTACGGTTTCGGCCGCCTCATCCTTCATACCGTCAGACCTATGCACTCCACTCCGAACTCCGGAAGCTTTGAACAAAACTTTTTGGCCAAAAACTTCTGAGCCTTAAAGACCACTCTAATCCCGCAATTAACCAGCAACGTCGGTCTCTGCAGACCGCTTTCTCGCAAGCTCCAGTTCACGTGGATACTGGATCGCTAAGCTTTGCATTGTGTGGGTCAGACATGAAGAATGGCATGCTACCTAGAGCCCGCTCCCCTACACTCTGAGGCTCTAGCCGCATGGAAGCCCCTATTCCTGCCCGGCATGGCATCAACAAACCCCTTAAACCCGATGCAACCCCCAAACATGAAACCCAAGGGGCTTGATAGGCTAGGGTTTAGGGTTTAGGGTTTAGGGTTTAGGGTTTAGGGTTTAGGGTTTAGGGTTTAGGGTTTAGGGTTTAGGGTTTAGGGTTTAGGGTTGCTTAGGGTTGATGTTACCCTGAACCCTGAACCCTAAATATGGAGTCGAGGGTTCAGGATTTCTGGGCCTCGGCTTCCATGTTCAACCCACCCTCTTCCCAGAAACCCCGAACCCCAAGCCTAAGCCCAAGGGTTTGGGTTTAGGGTTTAGGGTTATGGTTTAGGGTGTAGGGTCTAGGGTTTAGGGGCCTAAACCCTAAACCCCAAACCCTAAACCCCAGTTTAGGGGCCTATACCCCAAACCCTAAACCCTAAACCCCAAAAAAGCCCCAAGGGGCAAGAGGAAGGTGATGCCCAGGCCGGCGGCCCCAACCAGTGCAAAAGGAGCTCGCCAGCCAGCCGTAGGGCCCAGAAAGCCGGCCAAACCCTGATCAAAGGCTTACGTTTATATTTACTTATTTATCTATATACGTATGTGTTTATTTGTTTGTATATGTATATATATATATATATGTAATTATTTGTTAATATATATATATATACATATATATATATACACACATATATATATATATATTTATACTTATTTACTTATTTTGAATTTATATATATATATATATATATAGTTTATCTACTTGTTTATATATGTATATATATATATATGCTCATATACGTCGGTTCTTTTCAGATGTCTGAGAGGGGTTGCTTGAGGGTTCCTTTAAGGGGTCTTAAAAGGGTTCCGTTCCTTTGAAGGGCTCTTGCAAGGAAGCCTCGTAGCAACCCATTCAAGGGGCCCTTTCTCTCGTTGTAACTGTGGGTTCGATAGGCACGGTCCTGCAAGTCCCCTCAATGAACCTGTTCTGGCACCAGCAGTAGTCTAAAGCTACCGTGAAACCCTAAGGGTCCAAGTACCCATTATTTAAGGACTTCGGGGCCTTTTTGGGTAATTTGGGTACCTAAAACCATAAATAAGGACTACTTGGACCCTTAGGGAAACCTTACAAAACTGTAGAATAAAACGCTGGAAAGATGCTGCCACTGTGCTTGGAACCCTGGAAGCCACAAGCAGACACCCCTTGTTGCGCTTCCTCGCCTGTCCAATGGCGGGCCCCATACCGGAGATCACGGCCAGCATTGCGATAGCATGAGGACGCTCCTCCGGAGGATACCTCAGAGAATCTTGAATAGGGATTCCCTCAAAGGGATCCATTAGGGGTTTGGGGTTCCTTTAAAGGGATCTATAAGGGGTTTTANNGGGGTTCCCTTAAAGGGATCCATAAGAGTTCAAGAAAACATGTGTGTATGAGCATAGACCCACGCCGAAACGCAAACAAGCTCGATAACCACGTGCGAGGATCTTGCTTAACATACTTGTACATGTAGACACACACACACATA